TACCGTTCTTCTCTCTATGGGCGTCTTGCACTAATCACGGCCTTCGTGGGACTGGACATCAAGCTGTTTACCGTGAAAGGCCATGTAACAGAATAGTTGATCACAAACCCGGACTTCTCAGCGACTAGAGTCGAAGAGACCTGGTGAGTGTAAACTCAAGCTTGTTTTCCACATTTGAATCGCTTCACTTCCAAATTACGAGCCATGATCTGAGGCCGAGATTTTTCACAAAGCAAGTTCACATCCGGACGTAGTCTCCATCTGATCTGACTTTCAGGCAAGTTTTCTTCCACCTTCTTTCAAGGAGTAGCAAAGGGCCTCGCTACTAGGAGCAAGGACACTACTAGTAGCTCCTGGCCTTACTACTAGGAACAAGGACGCTCCTACCCTAGCATTGCCTAGCAGCTATAGCCTGAAGCGGCATGATGCTTTTAGGGTTGAGACTCGGGTCAGACAAGGGGAAGGGATGGAGATGGGAGATCAAGACTAGACTCACTCAGCGACTGGGGACAAGCTCGGAGCGACTAAGAGCGAGGCCTCCGACCTACTATAGCGATGGCCTCCAACCTATAAGAATGATTAGTTGCTCCCGCCTGAGATGCAGAAGGGAGTCTACTCAAAATTGCAAAGGTGGCAACGCGGGTACGACTGGACAACCAACAAGTGGTGCGGGATGCCAAGGGTTTTCTTTGCATTTTGCAGGGTTCTTGCTCAACTGAGTTAGCCACTCTCTGAAAGGAGACTTCACTTTTTTGGTAAGACGTCGCAGCCTGAGGCTCTTTGGAAGCAGAGTGAAACAGCGTGGCTTCGCGACGTCTTGCATCTTCCACACTGTGGCAGTGGAGGTTGATGATGCAACAGAATCCATAGCCATACACTGTCTGGAGTCTGGAGCTGTTGGGATGGGAAAGCTTCAGTAGTCAGAGTCGTACTCAGAGTCTTCTGTGGTGGTTGGAGACTCTTCCTTGCAAACAATGGTCACCTCATCTGGCAACATGGCCACCATGCTGCTGCCGGGTATTTCTGTCGTGCCCACATAGCAGCAAATCCGCCGAACCATTCCAGGAGTCACCGGCCCCAAGGCGTCCTCTAGTAGAGGATAAACGCTTTCCGCAAGCCTGGCGCAAGTTGTCCACGCAAAGTAAAATGTGAGTTAGCAGTTAGCCTCTACAAACGTCTCTTCAATTCTGTTCGGCCAGAAGAGGCCGCGCATCCGAAAAGCATCAAAAAAGGAACAAGATGGAACCCACGAACCCAAATGCAAACACATACTCGAAAACAAGCGCCCAAACATTTTTGACAGTCTTGTAGGAAACAACACTCTTGTAGAACGCTCTTGTAGGACACACTCTTGTGGGACACACTGTACGACACTCACGTACGCAGATGTAGCTGAGGCCACAGCTCCCAGAAACTGCTTCCCGTAGTACATTTGCACTACAACGCTGCCAGCTCTACAGCTCCCAGAAGCTGGCTGCTCGCCGCACTACACTTGCACTACCAAGTGGCCAGCTCAGAGGCCACAGCTAAAGTTGCGCGAGGGGCCAGAAGCCACTTCTCGTAATGTATTTGTACTACCAAGTGGCCTGTCCTGAAGTTGCTTCCCACATTACATGTGCGCTACAAGTTGCCACTTCTCAGGGCCACTCTTGTGGGAAACTCTTTTGGTGGAACACTCTTGCGGGACACTCTTGTGAGACACTCTTGTCGGCCATTCTCGTGGGACACTTTTGTAGGACACTCTTGTTGGACACTCTTGTGGGGCGCTCTTGCGGGACACTCTTGTAGCACTCTCTCTTGTGGGACACTTTGGTATGAAACTCTTGTGGGGCACTCTTGCGGAATGCTCCTGTAGGACGCTCTTGTGGGACACCCTTGTAGGACACTCTTGTAGGGCACTCTTGTTGGACACTCTTGTGGAACACTCTTGTGGGAAACTCTTGTGGGACACTCGTGCATGACACTCACTTGTGGGACACTCTTGTAGGATGCATTCTTCTGGGACACCTTTGTAGGACTCTCTTGGAAGCAACAGCCTCAAACGCAAATCCCAATGTCGACACCCCAAAACCACCACCCTCTAAACGCCAATCCTAATCTGACTGCGCAGAAACTGCGGATCTCACAAAACGCTGCGCCTGCACAATGAAATCATCCTCCACACTTCAACATCTCACGCTTCCACACGTTTCCTCGCTATTTCGCACACGTTATGTTTCCATCCAAAACCCTCTCCAAAAGCTTCGCCCAATGTCAGCGCCATAGCGCCCCACCCGCGAACGGTTGCGGACGGTTGCGAGCGGTTGACAACGGTTGCGGAAGCTATACGACAACCATTCGCGAACAAGACTCTACCCCCAGACCCCCACAGTCAAACGAGAACCCTTCGCTACGCATTTGGGAAAAAAGAATAAGGGTTGCATATCCCTCCCTGCCTCCAGTGTGGTTGAACTTTTACTTCAGTTTCTCTGCCAGACATTTCCAGAAATCGGATGTTGCGCTGAACTCCTCTCGTCGCCAAGATGGATCGGAAGAGCTCTTCCCATTCTTCGCCACTCCGAAGCTGAAGAGCTCGTCCCACGAGCTCGTGCTTTTGACTCTCCTCGATGTTGGGCAAGATCGATGCTCTTTTATTAGGTCGGAGGCCATGGCTATTGGGTT